CCTGCTGAATTCATGACACAGAACCAGGTTGTATATGCATCTAGTCACTTGCACATAGAGCAGTTTCAGTTGTTTGTACGCTTACCAGAATTGTTTCTTGTAGAAACACTGAAAATGCAGTTTTTACTTATAAGAGTCTTCTGAAAGTGCTGAGGAAGTTCAAGGACATCAGTTGAGGGAAAGCCAAAGGATCTTTTTGAAAGGTCTGGTGGTAATACATGTAAAAATTTTGTAAAACTAAAAACATCCCTTGCTACTAACTTCAAGGGGAGGACTTTAATGATCTGTACCTTGTCATAAATGCTGTATTACTGCCAGGTGTGGTATTTGAAGCAAAAAGATGTTTAACCAGCAAGTAGATCAGTGCATTTGATGCTTGTCTGTTGTCTTTTCTTTCCAGAACACTTCTGCAGCAGTTGCAGAGACTCCAAGCCATGGTTGCTGGGAAAGTGTCCCGTTCGTGTAAGGCAGCTAGCACACAGACAGGGACCTGTCTTATGGTGAGTGTCTCTAAAGCTGGGAATTGTAGGGGAATGAGAATCTCTTTCCACTGCTCAAAGGCACATCCCTTGTTCTGTGAAGCCCCTCACCCACAAATTCTCAGCTTGGGAAACTTCTTTTCAAAATATGACAATTAATTTTGAGGAAGGTGAAACTCCTGGCTGATGAAGATTAACGGTTGTAGGAAGGCATTTAATTCTGGAGGAGACTGGGCCTGTGCTTTTGATTGGATGCTGCAGTGATGAAAGAAGGAGCGCTGCTCCTTTGAGTGACCTGTTTTATTATTTCCTACAATATTTTATGTGAGAAATGGTGTCTAGAGTTGTAAAATGAAAACGATGGTGACCTTTGATGCCTGGTTCTTTTGATACCAGTAAAAATAAACTTGCTTATCCAAATAAAAATATGACTAAAGCTGTAACTCTACCTCTGGCCTATTTCAGTAATAGTAGTCAGGATAAGAAAAGGATTTAAATGAAATTTTTCCTTTTCCCCTCCTTACACTCAGCCAGGAAGTTCCCTTTATACTAGTGCTATAAATTGATGGAAATGATTTTCAAGGCCTAAGTTGTTCTCCTAGTCTGCCAGCCTCTCTGTCACTTCGCAGCAAGACTGGGGCCAGCAGCAGAAATAATCTTGGAAATTCCCAACAGCATCTGTAAAACACACATGGTGGTTGTGTCTGCTTTTCAACTTTGGGAGGAAATAAGGTTATAGGCCAAAGTGGTGGCATTGAAATCTGCCCTTTAAAACACTGAATTGTTATTGTGTATGTACCTTTGCTAAGAGATACTGTATGTAGTGATGAAAATGGCCTCAAATGATTTGTTTTGAAAAAGTATCAGATTTGCATTGTGTTGATTCTTAGTTTTCATGTGCACGTGTGGGCCCAGAGCTAGTGCGCTTACCTCTTCTGCATCTTCCCTTTGCCAGATGGTGGTGCTGTGCTTTGCAGTAGTTTTTGGCAGCTTCTCTCAGAGCTATGGGCCATATCCTTCTGCTACAAAGATGGTGTTGCCCAGGCAGCATTCCTCACCAGAGTCCTACACAGACTCCATTGGTAAGTGACAACTATCCCAGTCTTGCTCCCTGCTTGGTTGTGCTTTGACACTTGTTTTCCACCCCCATCCCTAACCCTCTCCTCAAGCACCTTTTGCTTTTCTTCTCCTTAGCGGGCCATTCCTTGATATACCTGTGTCTTTCAAAGGATAGCCTGGCAAGCTGTTCTGGTGGCAGAAGACTTCATAGACATGGGCAAAGCCTTTCCCCACTAGCCTGCTTGGTACTTCTGTTTAAAGCAGTTTTGTTTCTGTTTGTGGAACTAAAGCTAGTGGTCTGTAAAAGGTAGCAGGATTTCTACTCGGTAGTAAATGTTCATACTGTTAAAATGCGCAACTGATATCAGCTGGTGTGTCCTTTGCCAGTGTCACCAGAGTCCAAGGACTGAGTGGGAAACTGTCAGTATTATATACCTGTAATGAACTAGCTGCTTTCAACGTATATTATCAAAGTGATTGTTTCATTTTGTTCTTGTTTTGTGAATAATTCAGAGCTTTTTGATCCCTAGCTGGACCATTGCTGTGGTATCTTTCCTGAGCTATCAGATTAGAAGTTAATCACTATGAAGAGAAAAGACCTTTAGTTCTTTAGTTCTGCTCTGACGGTTTCCATTTCCTGAAATGACCAGGGATGTTCTCCGAGCTGCCTGTTTCTCATCTCTTTTTGCCTTCTGTCTTTGTATGCAGTGAGGTCAAGGAGTCTGCTAATTTATGAAGAGCCTCACCAACTGGAGGAGTCGTCAAGCCCGATCTCCTTTGCAGATCGCAATGACGGGCAAGCAGACACCTCCAAGTACACAGCGCTGTCCCTGGAAGCCGTGCCAGGGACACAGCAGGATGATATCATGCAGTTCACAATAGCCAACGAGACAAGGCTAGAGAAATCGGTGCTGCTGGGCCTGCAGCAGCACAGGTGAGCGGAGGGTGGGCTGCTTGTCATACGGCTGTTCGGCATCACTCACTTGTGCCTGGAGGCCAGCAGTAAGACTAGGGGCTCAGCTATGCTGGGCACTGTGAAACATGAAGTGAGAGTTCGGTCTCTATCTGGAGAGCTTATAGGCAAAGTTATTGTTACTCTGGAGAAGTGGTTGCAACAATATTGTAGTAATACAGCTACCAAACTCAGTGCTTCTGCCAGAAACCTAACCCCTGTAAACCTGTTAGTTGTGCCTACCCACTTCTTTAAGCACTTCTGTGTTTCCTAAAGGAATAAGCTTTCGCCAGTTGGGTGGAAGTGTGAGGCTGTGAGTCACTGGGCTTTCAATGAGGTTAGAGTGTGAAGAGCTGGAGCTTCTCGCAGCAGTGATCTTACTAAAGCATTACTGTGGAAAGTTTGCAGGACTCAGTCTTAAGAGACAGACCTGTAAAGTTATCTGAACTACTTAACACAGAGCTCGTTCATAATTTATATTTTTTTTTTTTAGCATAAATGTAAATTTTTGGGACCTCTGCAAAGAGAGAGATTCACTGGTTTAAATATGTGTGTGCAGTTTTCTTTCCACTCTACCATTTCTCGTCCTGCCACTGTCCTGTTGGCCCGGGTCTTGGTCTCTGCTAACAAGCAGCAGCAAGCACGCCAAACAGTGGAGAGAGGGGTTTTGTTTGAAAGCCTGCTATTCTGAGGGCTAGGATGAGCCATGTCACCCCAAGCATGCCTTCTGAGCACTTGTGCCAGAAGTTATACTTAGAGCCAAAGAGATGACTAATTCGGTGTGTTACCATACTCCAACTGACAAGCACCTGGTAAATACTGAGTGCCTTTTTGGCATTAGCCAGTTCAAGCAGGATATGCGCTTTTAAAAATGACTAACTATTAGCGTTAACCTTTGTTGTTTTGGTTTTTTTGTTCCCTGCAGAGTCAACTCCGAACTAGAAGGAAATGAAACACTGAAGATAATTGAAATAGATAGAAGAGTCAATGCCACCTCTTAAAAATAAAAAAGGCCTTTTTTCTTGACTTCCCTCTTTCCCCACATATTTTCAACCAAAGTCCCCCTGACTTGTCGTCCTCAGTGAACCAAAGCACAAAAGAGAGGGAGTTCAACTTCTGCATTGACTGGTGAGGCTGTGACTGCAGATGGGATCTCTTGTGTTTGTAACTCCCTTCCTCACTTCACACGCAGTTCCTGTCTTTGCTTTTATTCCTTTCCTGTGTGATACTGCAAGGGCAGGATTGAATTATGATGGCAGATGATGCCAGCAGTGTGCCGGTGACTGGTGGGTGTGTGTGCGTGCATGCACACATTGTAATCAGAGCACAAAGACATTCTGTAGGAAAGTGAAATATGCAAAACTGATGGGAGCATGTGGGTGATAGGTTTCTTGGGAGAGGGGATTGAGAGAAAGAGGAGATGCAGCAGCTCAGAATCTAGCCACAGCTCCGTGCCTACTGGTCTACAGCACTTGAGCCTTTTGGGGGGACTGAGAAGCCTGTTGTGTAGTCTGCTTCTGAAGGGACAAGAATGGGCCCTGATACTGTTGAGTTAACAGCACAGGCAGGAGAGGAGCGGACAATGATGCTGCTGAATTGTCCTCCCCTAGCTCTTTCTCTCTTCTCCCCTCCAGCCCCTTTATCATTTAGCAGGGTAGGTTTCTCTCTGGGTTGAAAGCAGTCCTAGTAGGCTTCCACCCAGTCCAACTGCTTCCATCCTTGTGGGATTCAAGCAAAGATCAGTCACTGTCTTGTCACACTTTGTCCATGTGGGAGAATTACACTAGTTTAACTAAATCTGTTTAGAAAGCAGGTTTTGTTAAATTTATGCGATGTTTTGGATGGATATCCTTTAGTCTGCTTAAGGCTAATCTGTTTAGCTTAAACCAGTTCTTTTCCAACAAACTAAATCAATGTAAGGCTTAAACCAGAAGTGCCTCCTGAGAGGACCATATGGATTTAATTTATTGGCTTCTAGATGCGTTGATGGAATTTCTTATGTAGACTCGATCTCAGATTGTCCTGTGTTTTCCTTTCCTTGCCATCTTCCTGTTACTGTTGTAAATAGTATTTATTAGCTTCGCAAAACTTTGTTCAAGCAGTCGCAATGAAGAGGACTGAGCTTCCCTAACCCTGCAAGTGGTCTGGGCAAACTCTGAAATCAGACATACAAATATCACCGAATACCCATTCCTTCCCCCCAGGCTTGAATTGCCCTAAAGTAAAGCCATGGGTCTTATCTTCCTCTTGCCTCCTTTTCCAGAGATGTGATCTTAGACCAACTGCTTAGCCGAAAAGATAAGGGGCATAGGTAGCCCCAGCTAGGCACATGTCAGTCCTGAAGGTGGTAGATACTGTATTAACTGTATGGCAAGACAGCCCATGACCTGAGGAATTAAGTATGTAGGTGGCAGACAAAGCAAAAGAGGGATGAGATGGGCACACAGGGAGGGGAATCGACTGACCCAAGTTCAGTGGAAAAGCCAAGAGCAGTATTCAGGTCTGATCCTGGTACAGTACTCTTCTCCCTGCTTTGTTTCCTCCTTGTCCCATGTAGCTGTTGCCTTTAAGGGTTTTCCCTCTCTCACTTATCGTGGCCTTGCCTTTGCCCGAACTGTGCTTCTTGCAATTTGTCCTTGGAGTGGCACAGTCGAACCTACCCCAGGATTTGAGCAGGGTTTTATCTGGTTACTACAGAAGGGTGCTCAGACTCCATTGAGGATGGATTTAATGTGAAAATCCTAATTCAGCAGGCTAGCATATAGCTACTTTATGGTTTGCCAGAAGAAGTCAATTTAAAAAAAAAAACAAACACTTTTGAAGCTCTTTTTTCTTTTTTTTTTCCTCATGATAAATAAGGGAAAAACTAACGTAGCCTTACAAGTAATTTTTTACCATGTACAGTAGATATTTCCTACAAGTAGATATTTCCTACAAGTTCTATTTTGTAAAATATTGGATTTATATTTTATTACAGCAGCTGCCACACCAGCTCCTTTCTTGTTCTTCATTCTCCTTAGACTTTCTTCCTTCGGTATCCTATTTTGCCGCCCTCAGGCCTGACTCAAAACTCCATGAAATTAATGGAAAGAATTTGGTGGGTTAAGCAGGCTGTGGATCAGTCCCTACTGTGCCATTTTGAGAGGTGTTTCACATTAGTGACAGTGAAACATGTATCTGACTCCATGCAGTTGTCATGAGTTTTGGTGTACAGACGTGCTTTCTAGGTAATGCCCTATTCTTCTATGCAAGTGCCTTTATTATTATTTTACCGTTGGTGGCAATGAGAGGAGAAATGCCATTGTAGTCTACTTTGCAAGTGTTCCCTTCTTCTTGGCATGGGTCAGTCTCCTCCCTAGAGCCTCTTTC